TGGAAAACTTGTGCGCTACTTTTCCAGCAATGACAAAATGTTGCCTGTCTACGACTGGATCGGCTCGCTGGCTAAAGAGCCAGAGAACTTTAAACTGTGTTCCTCGCCCGAAGTCGTGGCGATACCGTGTGACCCCGTTAGTAACTGCACCCTTTACATACAAGTTACGGACGAGTCAAAATTATCGTTGGAGGACTCTGACGTTACGTTCAAAGGGTATGGCAGTGAGCAGAAGTATGTATTGACAGGCATGTTGCTTTTTTTGAGAGAATATTTTTTACCAGCAAAATATTAAAGACCCATGACCGACCATTAGTTTAAACTGGGCGTTTTCGTTTTCTTTCTTTTTTTCAGGAAACCCGAAGGTTTGTACCATGGTATTCAAGTGCAATTGGCAAGTACACCTCCAGATTCCCTTGTGTTAGGTGACGAGTGCTTGGTTGCAGATCACTATGAAGGAGAATTGTTAATGAGAACTACACCAAGGTACAAGAAAAGCGGGAAGAGGCACTGCGTGCTCTGAATGGAAGCGTGCATGTCATTGTCAATAGGAAAACATTGTTCAGGACCTTATTTCCATATGTAAAGATCCCAACATCCTTGAAAAAAACGTTCTAGTTGGCCTAGAGGGGGCAGAAGCATCAGGAGATGGTGTTTTCCGAGAGGTTTATTCTTTGATTTGGCACAGTTTCTTGTCTGAAAGTGATGGCGATAGCTAGCGAGCACTCAATTCCACTTCTCCCAAATCTCAACCAGGAAGGCTATGTGAGCCTTGGTAGAATTTTGACACGTCAATTTGTGCTTTGCGGTATGTTCCCAGTAAAGGTGTCCCAGGCATCAGTGCAGCACACTTTTTTCGGCCGCGCAACCGACGAGTGCAAGATTGAGTCTTTTCTGCGGTTTCTACCACCAAGGGAGAGAGAGTGTCTATCAAGGGCATTGAAAGGTGACGTACTATTCCCACAGGAGAGATTATTCACCTACTCGAAGACTAAAGCGTACGCTAGTTACCTTCTGCAGATAACATCAAGGCTCTGGTACTGGGTACTGTCCGTAGCAACCGCTGAGTTTGTAACAATACCTTTCTTGTGCTTATCCAGGCCAACCGCAGCCGGAATTATTGCAATCTTGGAGTGCATCCCGGAAAATCCAAAAGAGGATCAAATCTTTCGCTGGTTGGAACGCTATCTCAAAGGATCAAGCAACGAAATTCTTTCAAAATTTCTCTGCTCCTGCTCTGCTACAGATGTGTTATTGCCTGATCATGGCATTTCAATGCGTACAAAGGTCATACCACTTGTAGCTATTCGCCCGAAATCGTACACTTGTTTCCGCAGATTAACTCTACCCAGAAGCTATCAGTCATATTCACAGATACGACACAACCTGGAATTTTACCTTCGAGACTGTAGTATCTGGGATCTCAATGACTAGTGGCAACCGACTTACTTGACAGTAGTGATTCCGAGCTGTAGGCGTCAATCACAAGTAGAACATTTGGACCTGACTTTTGTACCGTCAATATTTCATAATTGGAACATTTCTATTTTAGTTCCTGTTGCTTCACAGTTCAAATAATGTACATCTTTACAGTGTGCTCGATACTTTTAATTTGTATTTGTTGTTTGCATGGACGTAGGTATGTAGGCCATGAAGTTGGATCCCATTTTGTTGAAGCCAACATTTGCATTTCTCTTCTGTTTTGGGAGATTAGAAAGCACTCAGTTAGGTTGGTTGTGTTACGTTCTCATGCCTCCTAATGGCAGCATTCAGTTTGAAAACAAATTTATACAATGTACGTTTTGTTACTGTTCCAAAATTGTAGGTTTACATCAGATTGTTTACATCAGATTTGGGGAGTAATCGCGTGATATTTTCCAAATGATCGATTGATAAGAATCTCTGTATGTAGCACGTAAGGTGAAGCACATAATGCCTGCATCGTAAAACAGGGAAAGTGCGAGAGTTAGGTTGATATAGCTAAAATTATTTTTTAACGATTTGTTGCAGTTATGGGAACGCATGCAATTTCTTTAATACAGACACTTTCACATGTATGGACGGTATGCTGCTCCACTGAAAGAGTCTTTATCACCCTTATTCAATTATTACTGACAATATTCCTAAACTACTTTCAGATTTATTCTGTAATTGGCTTGTGTATTTGTGTTTTTGGTCAGAAGAGCTGTTACTTTAATAGTTTCTCTCAGAACTCAGAGCTACTACCAGTATCCAGCCTATCCAACCTGACCCTTTTATCTCTTCTTCCCAGATTGTGTCAGTAACGAGAGTTAACCGATTGAAGGAGTCTCGGTCGCAGTTTCTTGTGCAATTCCTTGTTTTAAACGATTCAGCAGAAGATGAATCATGTAAGATCACCTCTTGATTATAAAAAGAAAGCCGATAACAGCAACCTGGGTTTACGCGATTTGGAGAATAGTCTACAACTTTCTTCTAGGTATAAATATACCATTCTCTAAAAAAATGTGAAAAGTTGATATCCCAAGCAATAGTAATATAACTGAGGTAAAGGCAGAACGACCTTTTTTTGCATACAAATATATATCAGACCAAATTACATCACGTCATATATCATCCTAGCCTCGTTAATTACATATCACGTTTTAAAAATGATCTCAGTCCGTACATCGCAGTCTCAGCACCTTAATGTTTATAACTTGATAAGTTCTCACTCGATGGAATGCGAATCCTTCGATTCTTTGGTTTGCAACAGAACGCCTGTATAAGAAATTCTTCCCCCTCCAAATTCGTCTTGAACATGACGCCTTAGGAACTTCTGCATCGCAGCAACACTAACATTCTCAGTACCCGCATCGGCACGACATATGTGAGGGGCCCCTCCCAGTTGTTTGACACAATCATGACAGAAGGTAGCAATTATACGAGGATCATTGTTTGAGGAACCAACCTCAAGCAATAGGATACGGCGGCTGTAGCCATCTATCGCTCCTTGTATGCAAAACCCAAATGGCTTAAGCTTATCGTAGCCATCAATGTGCCATATATAATTTGGACCTTTTGATGGGTATTGTCGTCTTCGTAACTTGTGACGAGCTCGTTCACGAATTCCGTTAGGATGAAGTACAACAAGGATTCGACGAATCGTTTCCCTATCCACTATCATACCATAGTCTAAAGTAATTCTTTGATGCATCTGACGGTAGCCTAACCAGCTACCACTGCGATTCTTGCTCTACTGCTAAAATCAAGTCGTGGGGATTACTGCTCGTTCCTCTTCTTCCCAATCCAATTCTACAGAGAATTCTTTTGAGATGACGAAGGCTAAGCCTAATGCCATGAACGATGCAAAGAAACTCGAGAATTTCGGTGTGGCCAAATCCTAGATTAAAGTACTCTTGTATTAGCAGATTTCTGCTCCATTGACCACTACGTAAAGCGGGAAGATAGGGTGGAAGAACACTTTCTGCAGCTAAACTTATTGCTGAAAGAACCGAAAGGAATAACATCCAGACCGTCATAGCTCAAGCGATTGCTTCCTTCTCCCCCCCCCCCTTAGTACCCAATCGTCAGGTATGTAAAAAGTTTCAATTCATGGCTTTTAAAGAGAAATTTACAGTTTTAACTAGAAATCTACAGTTGTAAGTAGAAATTTACAGTTATAAGTGGAAATTTACAATTATAAGTGGAAATTTGCAGTTATAAGTGGAAATTTACAGATATAAGTAGAAATTTACAGTTATAAGTGGAAATTTACAGATATAAGTAGAAATTTACAGTTATAAGTGGAAATTTACAATTAAGTGGAAGGGGAAATTTACAGTTGGTAGTGCAATGTAGATAAGTAGAAGTCAAATGAAATGCTGTGCAGCAGTTATTTATAAGTGATTCAAAACAGGGCTACTTTTAATTTGGTAACTTAATTTAAATCAATCCCTAAAAAAAAAAAATTGTGTTTCTGTTATGGCCCTAACCAGCCACCGTACACTATAGACCTCAAATTTTTCTGAGTTTTCCGTACAAACATTATTTTTTTTTCTTGTAACCGGATATGATGACGTGGTTTAGAACCTGACATTTTGAATGGATGTAAGCGTTCACAACCCGTATTTTTCATATTTTCCTTATTGCTACAGGAAAGGGGACGACTATTTCTCGGTTTTTAGAGTAAAACTAGTATTGGGTTGAAATCAGAATTGATGTTATGCCATTCAGTTTGGAGTCTACTGAATTAACTTCATTCATATATATCCAATACGCATGTGCCGCGCAGATATATTTTTGAAGGAACTGAAGTTGTCTCAGTTATAGGATGATGTTACCTGGGCTCGAGATTGCCCTCTCATAGCCGGGTTGTATTAGGTATGAAAGCAGAGGACTTCTCCTTTTAAGTGGCCGTCTCCGATGAGAGTCATAAGACTAAACCTAAACTCTATCCCTAAACATTTAAACATCTATGAAGAGATGATTCATTGCCAACCCCTTAAAATTACTTGCATTTAATTTATGACTTGGTACTAAAACTTCATTTTTCACGTATGGATTTTTTATAATTTTAAAATAATTACTAATTAGTCTTTGAAAGAAACTTCATTGAATCCCACTTAATCACGTAACCGTGAATACCACATACCTAGCAACCCTCAAATTCATTACCCTAGACAAAACTCTATTGTTTTCGTTCTCTTTGCTTTGATAATACCTATAAATAACTGAACAGCAGACAGAAAGGAAAGCATACAAGAGAAAGAGACAGACGACAATTTGGAGACCTGATAGTTTTAGTGCAGCTGTGGTCAGATGTAGGGTTTGTCACGTAGCATGTGTTAAAGAAGGTTGTTGCGTGACATGCCCAAAGGGTGTGATTTTTTTGAAGGAGGCAAGATAGTATTATTTATTGCTCGAATACAACTCAAACACTACGCCAATCAAGTCAAGCACCCTGGTTAAGAGGAATCTAAAGTTAATAATTAGCTTTTGTTACGAGTGAATTCACAAGAACAAAGAACCATTATTTATCTTAAGCCATTCACTGCGCCGTAACTATGGAAATGCGGGATGCAATTTTGAGAACGAAGCGTCTCATATTATCTTCCAAGTATCAAGTGAAGGAGAGTTGGAGACTGAACGAAGCGTACTTGCATGTTTTAAGTAACACAGTAGTCTCTTTGTTGTGGTTAAAGAAGTTGCTCAGTCTTAGTCGTTTTTTTCTGGAAACCTTTGGCGATATTTAAAGCGGCCTTTGTTGAACAGACTTATGATGCAAGCAGACTGAAGCGACCGAAAACAGCTGTCTGAAGGGCGGCAAACTTCATGGCACCACTCGAACCAACCATTTCATCGACGATGTCTTCTACGAAAGACATAGTGAGGTCAACTGTTAGCAATGGAGAGGAACTACGACGTTCAGTTATGAATGTAGGAGATGCAATTAACGCCATAGCGTTTGCAATTTTGATTTTGTTTACGGTTTTCGGTAATCTTATGATCCTGGCCGCCATCATCAGAAGCAGGATCCTTCGTTTCCGCACTCATTTGTACATCACAAGCCTTTCTTTCGCAAATTTGCTCATGGCTGGTGTTGTAATGCCACTTCGAGTCCTGAGCTTTGTAGACAAAAACACATGGCTGAACGAACCAGTATTGTGTGAAACATATGGCAGCTTTTTTGTACTGTTTTGTACTGTGACTGTCTACACCCTGGCAGCTTTGAGTTTGGATCGGTACTTCTCAATCTCCCGGTACAAGTGGTATCAGAACTTCATGACCAGTAGCCGTACGTTTTGCCTCATCGTTCTTTGTTGGAGTATCGCCGTGCTGGTGTCGTTTCTGTTTGCCAATTTCGACGTCGATGTCGAAAAATCCTTGAACTGTAAGTTGGGTAAAACCTACACCACAGCTTACGTTTACACTTTCGTCGGCATTGAAGTTCTGACTCCGGTAATCTTCATGTTGATTTTACAGTGTCAAGTTATGAAAACAGCTGTAAGCCATACTCACACAGTGGATGTACGCGGTAGACAGATTAAAAACTTGGACTATGCTGATTTTCCATCGATCGCCAAAGAAACGACCTGGTCCAAGATTGTGGTTCGAATTACTCTGAGTTTTGTAATATTTTGGATTCCGAGATGTGTATTTCTTCTTCTTGCCAACAGCAATACAGCAGGCATCCATGAAGTTGCCGATGGTTTGACAGAGATCATGACTTATTGCTTCCCCCCATCATTTGCTCTGTTGCTGAGTTATTGGAGTAAGGAGTTTAGAGAGGTTTTCATAGATATGCTGTGTCCATATGCCTGTTATCAAAAGAAGAAAGACATGAGAAAGTATCGCCTGGGCGAGCCTAACAGAGTGAAACCATCAATGATGTACAGAAAACACTCCAAAAACTTTGCTGCATCATGAGTATGAGATCCATACTCAAGGAAACAATTGGATTTGTCCCTTTCAGTGATGATATTTGTCTCTCCATTCTTTTATCTCAACTTTACTCTGTGAAGACACTTTTTGTGACCTTAAAGAATTACATTATATCAGCTGTTAGGATAGAAGCACTGAAAATGGCTCAAGGAATGAGTCAAACTCCTTCCTATCAAGAGTGAGTGACAGTTTGATTGGAAAAAAAATACCATATATTTTTCATATGAATAAAGGCTGATAGTTTCGAAAGAAACTGTTTGGGGCTGCGTCGGTGGGAGTAACGAAATAATTTGGATATATCAACAAAGTTGAAATGGTAAATTGGCCACCGTAATGATTACAAAAGCTGACGTTTCGAGCGTTAGCCCTTCGTCATTCGCTCCGACGAAGGGCTAACGCTCGAAACGTCAGCTTTTGTAATCATTACGGTGGCCAATTTACCATTTCAACTTTGTTGATATATCCAAATTATATATTTTTCATAGATTGATTTAATCTTTCCAGTCAAACAGATAGAACTGCAAGTAGTTAAAACCAAATCTGTTTCAATCATTGATCATACTGCATACAATTTTGACTGAGTTTTAAAGTAACAGAGAAATCATAAATTATTATTCCAGTCTGGTTTGAACAAGTGAAAATTCCTAACAGACAAGGACTGTGGTTCTGTATTTAGTGACTATGGAGTTGAACAAGAGAGACAAGAGCCGAGTAGAAAAATGTTATGATTCAGTAGTGTTGGTTGCTTATTGTATTCAACTGATTGCACTGTGTTTGGATGATGAGGTAACTTTTACTAGACAATACTAAAGCAGGTACATGCATCAGTGATGCAACATACTGGAAGGTTTTAAACAAAAGAAGTGTGGTAGGTGATATTTTAATTTGAAAATTGGAACCAAAATTATTACTCATCAACAGGAGATGTGTGCAGGTTTTATGTTGCTGTTCACACATGCATCGAACTTTTAAACTACCTATATAGTAACTGTGACCCTTTTGATTAAAGAGTAGGTATGTTTGTTCCAAGACCAGCTTGTTCTCACTGGGTCTTTTGTTCTCAAAATTTAGAGAAATTCAAAGAAGTGGATGAAGTATCCCATTGCTTTCTGAAAGTTTTAAAATATTGTTATCAGCTTAAGCATGCAGGATGGTAAATATACCCATAGTAACTACTTAATATATGAAATTTTGATCAAATGTACAGTTATTAAAATTGGTCATGGTTTTTGATAATTAGAAAAGATAGATTTAGATGTATTTTATAATGATTGTTATACAAGTATTTTTTAGCTTTGAAACAGACATTACGAACTGACTACAAGATTACAAGTCAACTTTGTTTTTATGCATTAAAATTTTTCTTGTGATATCTCCAAGAAAAATTATGGTACTAACAAGTGTGTTGTGAATAAAGGTTTCATATTAGCATGAATTTCTTTTTTCTTGTGATTTCTATGATAAAAAGGGTGATTTTGAATGAGAGTTACATTTTAACTTCCATTAAAGCTGTACTGGTTCAATGGTGTACCTTTCAACTTAGCAAGCCTGAAAAGCATAGGTAGTACTAAAGGATTGCAAATTTGTAAGCAAAGTACTTTTGATTCCTTTAAAATTCTGCAAGGTGCAGGAGAACTTAGCATCTTTTCATTATGTTGCTTTAAACCCATTAACTCTCAAAAGTGAACAAGATAGATTTTCCCCTTATAATATTAGTACCATATTAGGCTTATAATTTAGAAAAGTGATGAAAAAAAAAAAGAAAAAAATATATTTTATGGGATTTAAAGTTGGTCTAAAAACAAATTCTCAGAGCAAGGAAAATTAATAATGAGATCTTGCGAGTGAAAGGCCTACGTTGATAAAACTTCACTTATTTTCACTCAAAGCAGTCCTGTTCAAGGCTTCTCTAACTGGATGATCATGCTACATAATTATCGCAGAAAACGTCCAATCTGTAAAAAAATTTTTGTTATCCAAAAAGCAGGTTTTTGGAGCCTATATGGAACTACCAAAACAAATTCCTTTAAAATCAACAAACCATTATTGCAAATGAAGAAAGAGAATCCAGGAAAAATAAACTAACTGGAAGCTCAGTCACTTTGATTATTTGGATTTAGAGCTGATTGGAGTCCCTAATTAAGATATGAAGTTTCTGCCAAACAAGAAAGGCTGATGTTAATGCCCCCCGCTTCCTCCTCCCCCCAAAAAGTGTATATTTTTATAATAATTTTAACCTTATGGAACATGAAAATATATTATTTCTTTGGGAACTAAGGATTTGTTGAGGGCATATTACTATATAACAGGTAAATGAACACAAGAGCTTGCAGTGTTTGCCTTGCAGAGTTGACATAGAGGTAAGAGAAAAATTATTTATCAGTGAGAACATGTGTATCTATTTACTGTAACGATGAGTTTATACGTACAAAAATACTCCATTTAATTAATTCTTTACTTTCGGACCGATTACAAGATGTAAAAAACCGTTGGATTAGGGCTTGCAAATGCATATATATGTAAACCCCAAACATATGCACATGCACAATAATAAATACTACTAATGATCTAACACTATATCGTCACATTTACCTTTTTATTAATTTCTTCATTTGCACTACTCTGGGTGAAATCAGTTACCTCTCTCCCTCAAAACAAGTGGATATGGGAGGGGTGGGGAGGAGGGGATGTCTTTTTGAAGCCCTTCCCAGCATACTTGGCGAGTTATAAATTTCACATGGCGGACGAAAATCACATTTTCCTTGACAGAGCTAACTGAAAACGATGGAGCAGCATTTAGATCGAGATCTGGCAAGTGAGGTTCGTCGATTTGTCCGCGAACGTCAAAATAAGCTGGCTAATGCCTCTAACTCGGGCGAAGTGATTGAAACATTGAATGATGTGGTTGAACTATTTCTCCGGGGAACTCTGCTTCCCTTCCAAGTTTCTCTCGACAAACGTCCTGTACTGAAGGGCGAATTCGTATCCAATCACTTTGTGAGGTTCTCTGAATTTATTCTATCTTCTAAAGTAATTGAATTCTATAGTAACCTCAATGAACAGCAGAGAAAAGATGGTTTTGAAGTGTTTTTCCTTCGTGGTCCATCGCACGATTGTCTTCTTGTTCTGGGAGATGTACTCTCTAAACCAGCGACCAATTTGAAAAACGCCAAGGTGATAGTATCCTTGCTCGAAAAGTTCTTTGGTGAAGAAAGATTGGTTGATATACTTGTGGAACAATGTCGTTTATCCAGGCCTTCCAAAAATGGTTCACTTAACTCCAGTGTAACAGGATTTGAAAGCAAACTTTGGGGACAGCTTGTGACTTTGATAGTTTCTCTCCCTCAGAGAGTGGCGAACAAACTCAGATTTAAATGTAGCCCTCAGTTCTACCCAGAGTCTTATTTCAACCTTGTTTCATGTGAAATTATCAAAGCATTGGAGAAGTTACATGACAACCTAACAATGTCACAGGATTGCTCCTTCAAGTTCCTTGAAGAATTGATTGGTCGGATTTGCTTGGTCGGGCAAGCAGAGAGAATGTTTGCCATACTGTTACCAGCATTGGAAAAGTGGCTGAAGAAGAGTCCACTTTGGAATAGAATCTGTGCACGACTGGTTACAGGGATACCAGATGGTTGCATGGAACATGTTACAGAAGGCCTGCTTAAGATGGCAGATGACCCGTCCCTAATTTCTAAGCTTTTTGGTGATTCAGTGCTCACCAATACTAAGCTTAAATATTTGCTGACATCTAAGTTTCTTCTAATGAGAAGCTATACCAATATGAATGTGCTTTACAATATCATGGGATATTTATCTGGATATAAGCACAGGCATTTGCTAGTGGAAACATTGCACACTCTTTTTGACATCTGGGGTGATAGAAGTGCAATAAAGCACACAACATATGACCAGCATTTTTACATTACTTGTGCAACTGTTCTCTCATTTGGTCATTTGAACATTGAAGAAAGGAAATCTGAAAAGCATGTACTGCTCAACAAGTTGCTAGTTGGTGTGCAGAGTCATTTAGAGAGCCCTTTGGAAAAGGTACAACGTCTTGGCATGGTAGTTGCAGAATGTCTTACATGTTCCCTTGAACCCAATGGAGAGAAACTTGTCTTTGGATATATGGAAGATAGTGATACTAAACAATTGAAATCACTGGCTAAAGGTCCACAAGAGAGGATGAATTTGAGAAGTGTAGGAAAGAGAAATGAGCCTGATGTTGAAATAAAAGGCAAGGATAAACTGGTAACTGAAGAAAGTTCCTCCATGAAAGTCTCTGCTGAGAAAAACTCTCCTCAGATTTGTGAAGGTGATGATGATTTGGTGCCATATGATCTTGGGGAAGAAGATGACAGTGATTTGAAATCCAAGGCTCCAAAGTATTTGCGAGATTGTATTGAAGGCCTTTTAGCATCAGAAGACTCATCAAAGATGGAAGCATCATTGAAAAATGTGGAGAAACTTGTTGGTGCTGAAATGGATGACTTGGATGATGTCTGTGAAGAATTGGTGAAAGTTCTACTTCATCTTCAGGACCAATTTTCGACTGATATGTTTGGTGAATTGCGTCACAGTGCAATTGTTGCTGTACTTATTAGGTGTCCTGAACAGATTGCTTGTTACTTGACAGAAGAATTTTTTGCTCCAAATTATCATTTACAGCAGAGAATGGACATATTAAGTGTTCTTGCCGATGCAGCACAGCAGCTGTCAACACCAGTGGAAATAACTAAAACAAAAGAAGTACCAAGAAGGTTTCCACTCCCACAAGCAGAATCTAATAAATGTTTGCAAGCCATACCAGAGTGGCAGAAGATTGTGCAAGAGAGAATTGATGGTAAAACAAAGAGGTTTACCAAGGGGCCATCCCACCCTCAACCCAAACCTGTGGCTAACAAGTTTGCTAGTGTAGCTGGATATTTCTTTTTTCCATTAATGAAGAACTTTGACAGCAAAGTGAACACATTAGATCTTCTGGGTGAAGACACACTTGTCTTGGGCAGGCTTGTGTACACTCTCGGAATAATCATGTACTCTGCTAGAGAAACTCCCACAGCCAGGAATATGGGCAAGGCTCTGTTGGAATTCACTTGGGCTCTGAAGTATCATTCTGAATCATTTGTGCGTCAGGCACTGATCTTTGCACAGGCCATGGTTGCAGTTTCTGTTCCTTCTTCTATTCTTATGAATGATGCCCCGGGGGAACTCTCTGAGCTTCATGATTGGTTGAAGACAATAGTCCAAAATGATACTGATGCTGACAGTGTGAGGGCAGCTTTTCAGACTCTTGTTTTGTTGGAAGAAATTTTTAAAAATCAAGTTGTTGTACATGTTTGATCATTGCTGCATGTTCAATTTTTTCTAGCTAAAGCTTCATTAGTGTTCTTGCTGACTGAAGCACAGAGCTGTGCCTTTTTGACATTTTAAGCAATGAGCAAGGCACTTCCTTGTTCTGGATGGGTTATTTTTATATACTCATCTTTATTTTGAAGTTCAAAATAACCATTGTTGTTCATTGTTAATTGTAACATCTACTGCTTTTTACTAGAGTGGTTATTGTTGGAAAGTCTGATTGTTTTAGACTGTTTCAATAGAAATGATAGGAAAATTGATATTAAAAGATCAAGGATGCTTTGTTTTGAGAAGAGGAGGACTTTAATTTACTTCTCTGAGGTAGAATGTCATCTGTTATAGGTTACCCATCCACTTAATTAAGTTTACTGTTTTTTTTTTTGGCTACACATGTATAAACCAAGGTGATCTTGCTTTGGTGGTTGCCTCTCTCAGTCATAAATACTTTGCGCAAACTGGTAATTGCCAAGTTCAAAGTCAGTAACATATTTTGATTTTACATTCCAGATCTTTCGATTTTTCCTGGCTTTCAGAAAACTTTTGTTTCCATCCGTCACTGTCACAATATTGATTTCATTTATAGCAAGTACTAAATAATGATAAAAAAATTCTGTCAATATCAAAATGCAAAACCCTATGACTTAGACCCAAAAATTTGGTTGATGGGGATTCACATTGGACCTAGACCTTGCAAGAACTCTCTATGATTGAACCTACCTGAATAACTAATTTTAAACAGTTTCTACTAATCCACGGTTGGAAAACATGCTCTTGTTAAAAATCACTTTACAAACAGTCCAAGTACATGGTATGCGACTAGAGACTTGTTTTGTCGATTACTGCCTCTTTGTTAGGCCCACTGCCTCCAGATTTTCAATAAAATTATTGTTTTGAAAATGTTTCTTCATGTTGGTTACATTTTCTTAAATCCAACCCTTTGGGTGCCAAGAGTGACTAGCATTTAATTTATCCCATAATATCACCCCTGGATAAAACATGAAGGTCACAAGATTAGACAAGATGATCACCATCAAAAGTAGCTGTGGATTTGGCAAACAAATTCTCCTTTTCAGCACCTTAGGAAACGTATGGAGAAATATGCATACTGATGCTAGGGCAGTCTCCCTAGCAGCCGTTTTTAGTCTGTTAGGGCAGCGAGGGTTAATAAAATTGATAGTAGGCTATAATTTGAAAATCATCTTATGATCCTGTTGGCAAAAGTAGAGGAGCTGTAGATGGTTGTGGATGGTATTTTCTTGGTAAGTAACCAATATCAGGAAAATAAAGAAGGGGAAAAAAAAAAGAAAATGGCTGGCATTTTGTTTCTTCATCTTTCTATTGTGCCTTCTCATCTGAGAAGGAAAAGTTTTAATAGAGCAGTGATAGAGAAGGGTTTCATCAGGATTTGAATGTTTTTCTTACATTTCTGTGTCACTGACTATTGCATAATGTCACATTGCATTGGAAAGCAGTTTAGGAGATTAAAGGCCTCAGGGGAAGATCTCACATTAGCTTGATTTGGAAATGACATAATGGTCAGGTTTATAATTTATTTGTCACCTCTTTGTTGTAAAAAAAAATTAACATGAAAATAGCTACATTCATCGTTGATGAGTCACGCGTTGAACCCCTCTTCCAAACAAACTTTCTCCTTGCCACACCTTCTCAAATCGAGGTTTCAGCGCATGCGTGAAGCTCAATCCAAAATGGCGTCCAAAGGAAAGGGTGGATGGATATGGTCGCCTACATGACATTCCATCTCAAGAAATGTCCCGTCTTGCTGATTATTTTGTCGTTGCTGGAATAGACAGGGACTCAAAGAATGGTTAGAACTACATAGAGTTCTCTCAGCAGTCTGTCTCGCTGCTAGGATTTTTGTGCAAACATCGCACGCCTCTGGAAATTTCCAAGTTTCTTATTATTAAACATAAGTATTAACGTTTGCTTTTCGTTGTTGATTTGTAGGAGAAGTTAAAGGAAAGGTGATACAACGTTTCCCAAGTAAAGACCGTAAAGATGCAACGTTTCCAGAAGGGCTCGAATTGGTGAGTTTATTGTTACTGAAAGCCGGCAAGTTTAAGGTTCTAAATTTGTGCCTGATCCTTCTTCCGATTTCTTGAGCGATAATTTTCTATTTTGGAAATACATTGACGCACGGGGAAGTCTGTAAACCTCGGGTATTGTTTTACAACGCTTACATCGGTTTCTTTAGAATTAAATGAAAGCTGGAGAAGAAATTATTATCAGGAGAAGAACGATAAAATTAGCTTTCCCGTGGTCTTTAATTCCTGATCATGTAAAGGCTTATAACGGGGAAGGAATCCATAGTTGGCACCCACTACAGCTTATTCAGTTAGTTCAGAAAAGATTTTTGGCTTTCGATCTCGTTATTAGAGAAGCCTTTGGTATTAATTAGGGCTTCTTTAAGGAGGAAAACCTTAATACGCTTTCAGCAACGGATCTCAACACTGTTTAAACTCGCTTTAGGCATTACGCTAAAGATCGATTGAATCTCATCTAAACGTGTTTCCTGAGCAATGTGGACGTTATTACGGTTTCGTCTCAGTGTGATGCCGCAAAATTCGTTTAGTTGTAGCCTAAAATATCTTTCTTTTCATACACTTCATAGTACTTAATATTAAAAGCTAATATACATTAAAGTCTTCGCTGTTTGCCGTCTCTATTGCAAGCCATCGAAGATTCACTTAAACTTCGTACTCCTGTTGAGAATATTTTACGATGTGTAGCGTGCAGGCTCAATATTTACCCTATTTGTTTGCATTTAATTAATCTCCTAGTAGCTTGTCATGTTGTGTTAGGTATGTTTAATCTCTCCTCTTAAAGATGCGGGAAAATCCTCTACTCATTCTTGAAATTTTTCTTTGTATGTTGATACTCGATATAAACAAGCTTGTTGATTTCGCTATCGATTGACTGAACGTTCGAGTGCCGATTAAATTCACTAGGCAGTAGCTTTTGTGATATAAATTATATGTATATTCAGAGCTAGGTTTCTCTTCGTGGTTTGCTCTGTAAGGTATTTCACTAAGGCTTTTTTTTTGATAAGGCATGCTGAAACAATCAGAAAAGAAGCAACTCGAAGTCTCACTTCCTGGTTGACACTGTTAATGATGATGAAATAAAAATTATAATATTTTGCTCCTGAGATGTGATTTTTTTTAACGTTATAGATAATTAGCACTAATCTTTGTCCTGTTGTTTAATTTAAATCATGTTCTTGCCTGAACTCATGTAATTTTCCTGACTTGTAATATCTACTTGTTAGAGGTAAATTTTAATTACTTTGTATTGAATGGTTTTAAGCTATGTTGTGATGCCATTTGTCTTCATAGCACATTTAAAATTTCTGTCTCTTGGAATAGTGATAATAATACAATTACCAAATTAGTATGATAACAAGAATGGCCATGTATATTGTTAACTCTTTTTTTCATGACTCCCAGCTGTATGTACTAGAACACCACCTTTGATTTTTTGCAAATTTGTACCAGTAACCTGTTTTATTCTTTTGACGGTGATGTATGTAGAAAATATAGGCCTTCAAGGGGCTGGTATATTGGCTGCTAATGTCCACAACTGAGATATTGTCAGAAAAGTGAACATTTGGCAGAAATGCAAAGCTTTAAGGGAAAATGAGAAATTTTGGGGACCATCTATCAGCCAAGGATATTATCAACCAACATATCAGCAAGCCAGAAGGGGGTTTATTTGTTTTGTAACCTTCCGTTTGATTTTCGTGTGGCATGTGGAGAGAAAATTTTGTTAACTTTTTTGTACTTTCCAGAGCAGTTTTTCATGCCATTACTACTGGACTCTACAAAATGAGTTTGTTTTCTTCCATGTAAAGTAATAGAGATGAAAAAGTGAAACTGTTGAGCTGACTTTTCCTGCTGGCCTTGCTTCTTTTTGACAAAAAAAATGAAGGACAAATATCGACATAAACAAGGATTATTATATGATAACTGCTCTGCAATTTTGTACCATGTGGCATAAAGTAGCAAATAGAGTTGCTTGAAAATTAATGAGTGGGTTATCAGGTATCATAATCGATGTGTGAGGCAAACTCTAATTGTTATCTGAAAAAGCCATTACCATAGTTCAGAACAGAATTACTTAAAGACTCAGGCAAGGGAAACCATGTACCTTCAGTTTTAGGGAGACTATAGGGATCTTCTTTTGGTAATTACAATCCATGTAATGCAGTTTATTCTCAATATTGAATTGTATTTTCTGTAGTTTTGTCAACCTGGAGGATGGTACTACTCAAATTACTACAAACCACCAACTTTCTTTGTTGCTGTACTCACTGATATGGAAGGAGACCATCGATACTGTGCCTGCTTCACATTCTATGAAAAGTGCAGTCCAGCCAAATCCAAGTCTAAAGCAGTAAAGTCCTTCAACAAGGAGGTTCTTAAGGATGGCAGCCAATCAGATTCTTCTTTATCTGATAAGAGATTTTCTGATGGTGTGCCTGGAATTTCTATTAATTCAGAAGAGCTTTCTATGACAGAGATGTATGCACCGAAGTGCTTGTGTCTTGTTTCAAGAGCAAGCTACTTTGACATCTTAAAGGTGAGAACCTGTCTCATGTTTGGTGAAAAATGGCTAAAAGCACCTCTACCTTATTGATTATAAAAGTCAGCAGGATTATCATCAGAAAATGCAATCCAGAAAAATAGTTTTGCCCTGTTTCTGGGAGTTGTAGGAAACTGTGTAGATTTCATACAGGATGTACCTCTGTTTTCTCTTTTCAAGTGTCTGAGTCACTGCTCCTTGTCGTTAGTAGAGAGTAAACTACCGGTAATTGTTCTCATTGATACAGATCCCACTATCAAAAAAAGTATATATATGCTGTGACATAGGATGAATATCAATACGAAACAACAGCTACTGCTAAAAAATTGATCAATATTTGGGTAGTGTGGCTTGTAATTATAGATGTCTCAAGTAAGAAGACAGGCAATCTCTTGAGTTTGAAGAACACTCAATCTTGTAATCTACTTTTGCTTTATTTTAGATGTTATAGTCATTAAATATTTCATTTCGTTGAATTTTAATTATTGATATGATATTGTCTAATTATTTCAGAGCTGCCTAACAACCATCTATTGGTCATATCTGTCTGGGAGTAGTAAATCCTTGGAAGGACTAGTTGGCTGTGTCTTGGGATTTGTTCAGGTTCCACCCCCTGGGGGTCCAAAGATGACCTTCTCCATGGGTGCAGGTGATCGGCAAACCCTCTCCCCTCCTGCATCTGAAACTCTTCCAGTAACTGGAAAATCACTCTCCATCTTGTTCAATCAACTTGGTAAGTAGTGAATTGTCATAAATGGACATTGAAGAGCTCTGTCCCTTTTTACCTCATGGTATGATGTCAGTCATACTATTAGGATTTGTTTTGGAAGGAAAATTCAGTCACTCAATTTTAATGTGTTAGACAGTTAATCTATCCATTGAAACTTGGATTAAATGGGTTATCCTGTGCTTCCCCTACTAGGTTTGTTTCTGTCAAAAAACTTGTGCTATCATCTACTGTTTGAATATCTGGGGGTTGGTACAAGGGCCAAAATTTTGGCCTGAGTACATGTAGTTATCAATATAAAGCAAATTGGAGTCTGTCATTGGGCCATTGGCTTCAATAATCCAGCTGGGTTTTTCCTTTTTTTCACTCCATCTATGATCAAGATACACCCTTATAGACCTTACAAAAGAAGAGGTACTGTGTGGAACATTAATCAACTGGAAAGAAGAGGGCTTCAAAGTCTCAAAATCAACAAGGACAAAAGTCACTCGTGCATTCAAGAGAGGATATTACAACTTATTAAGGAAACATACACTCTCCCAAGCTGCAAAGGGTGTATTTTGACCTCAAATTCAAGACAGCTTTATAATTGTTAGCTAGTGACACATGTATTTTGAATCTGTTGACAGGAATCCACAACATGCTGTCTCTCTTTTGTGCTGCACTGACAGAAAACAAAATCTTGTTTTATTCAAGCAGCTACGCACAGTTAACCAATGCCACTCAGGCCATGCTGGCTTTAATGTATCCTCTTAAGTTCGGGTTAGTCAGAAATGAGGCCCTTCTTACAGGGTGTTTGCAAGAAATAATCAAGAGATAGTTATAGATTACTAGGTGGTGCAGTGGAGGGGTATCCACAAGGTAGCTCATCTTCCACTGGTAAAGTTAGAATTCTCTGTGTTGTTACTAGGAGGGCACAAAAAATATATGTCAGTGAAATAACCCAGATTATGGAAGAAATTCATTGACAAACTCTGCCGGCACCATGTGTACTTCAAGTTTAGAAATCTGTGAAAGAATACGGTTGTGGAAGCTGAGCTCTCTCCCCCCTTCAGCAGTCTTACACCTCCCTCCCCTCCCCCCTTTCTGCTTTGAAAGTCAAATCTATTAAATTCTTTTTTGTGTGTGACTATTTTGATTTGAGAAAACTTGTAAGACTGGAAAGAGTAAGGTCCAGGTTTTTTTTTTAGCAAAGGTGGTAACAAAGTAAGTCAACATAACGTGCTTGTCAGAATGCTGATATTTGCAGAGTGAAGCTTTATAATTGTTTATGAAATTAACTTATTTTCTACCAATATTACCAAACTTGGAAGTGAATGTGCTTTTTGATAATCTCTTGATTAATTTTTTTTTTCTAATTTGCCAGTTATGTATTTATTCCAATACTACCATCTGCATTACTTGAATTTTTGAGTGCCCCAACACCGTTTATCATGGGTGTACATGAAAGCTACAAAGATAACCTGGGCTCAGATTTGGTGAGTGATGATTGATTCACTTGATATGTACACTTGGCCAGTGAATTATTGTTATTTGTTACATGGCTAGATACTTGTGTTGTGGAGGTGTAATAGAAAACAATGCATTTTGACAATTGGACTTTTTTTCTCTTGTGAATTGCAAAAGTGGTTCTGATCAAGGTCATGAAACAGTGAAAACAAAAGAAAATGATTTAAAGGATGAAAAAACATAAAGGATAACTGAAAGGAAAACCTCAGACAAAATTTCACTTACATTCTGTGCCATATGAAGGTCAAAGAAGATACAAGAAACTCTTGCTTTTGTGGTCATGTGACCAAGTGTCCAATTGAAAGAAAGCCTAAACAACAGCAACAACAACAAAACTAAGAAAATGTTGCATCCTAGTTTTAGACTAATCACTATGAGCTAATAAAATAAGGGGAATCTTGTGTTTGGATTGGCAATCTAACAGGACAGGAAGGGCTTACCCTGCTTGCCCTAGGTTGTCTGCTTTGTTCCAGTAAAAATTGAGCTAACCGCCTCCCGGTTAGCTCAGTTGGTTAGAGTGCTGGACTGTTGTGCGGAAGGTCAAGGTCGATGGTTCGAGCCCCGGCCGGACCAACACTCAAGGTCTTAAAATAACTGAGGAGAATGCGCTACCTTTCTTTAATAAGAAATGGATAGACATTCTAGTCTTCTCAGATAAGGACGAATAAACCGTAGGTCCCGTCTCCTGCATCTATTAATTAGATAATTTGGTTAGGCAGGGGACATTAAAGAACCCACTCAGGAGATTACTGTGATTTGGTCTGGCCTGTTTACTGGGAATTGGGGGGGGAGGGGGCATCTTCAAATAAGTTTCCTTCGATTGTTTGTAAACTGCTGATGTAGTCTGGCCAAAGTCCCCCGAACAGTGTTGTGATGCGCATTTGACCATATCGACATGTTAATTTGCGCAATATAAATATTAAATTATTATTATTATTATTATTATTCCAGTAAAAATCACTAGAGGCCAGTCTAGTGTGGAACTTTTTGGTGAACAGTTTCATTTTATCACTGCAATGTTTTTTTTTTTTTTTTGGTTTTCTATCCTAATGTTTATATTTGGCAGTTCATATGTAACTTGTTATTTAAGAAAGTAATGTGTCAGAGTTTTGAATCAGTGTGTATTTTTATTGCAGACTGATGTAATTCTTGTAGATATAGATGGAGGACATGTGAGCATTCCGGACTCTATAAATCTTCCTTACTTGGCAGAACCATTTCTGAGTAGAGCAAGGCATGAATTGACCATGGTGAGTTTGATAGCACAAATTGGGTACTAAAGGAAAAATGTCTTAAAGAGTTCGTTCAGTCAAGTAAAAATGAATTAGAAAGGTAATGTGACATTCCTTTTTCCTCTTCTCACATCTGTGCTTTGTCTCCACCAACAAAAAGACACAAGCTTATATGGTGCAGTTTAGCTGGTCAAGTAATTACAGTTATAAATTTACTTATGCTTGCTGTAATGCTTGCTATATTGGTGAAACTGGTCGTCATTTTACCACACACGTCCGTGAACATCTCTCTTCAGACAAGTCCTCGTATACAAACATTTACAAAACTCAGAAAGTTGTCGTCAATCTTGCTCTGCAGATTGTTTTGAAGTCCTTGATTCCGCCCCTACTAAATTTCAACTTGAACTTAAGGAGGCTCTGCACATAAACTGGGAAAAGCCTAATTACAGTTAACTATGAATGTTGTATTAAAGACTGCCTGTTGCTTTGAAGGTGTTATATCCTCAACTAGTAACTGCAGATTGTGCTTTCCAGCCGCCAACATCACCGTCACTCCCACTCCTTCAGGTTTGTTGAGTGTTAAAATTTGGGCCTGCAACTTTCATTTGTTTAATATTTGTTTTCATGTACTTCTTTTTGAGATATTTTGAAACTAACATCATATTTATGTTGATTTTTAGGATAAGGAACTGCGTGCTGTGTTCATTAGACTGTTTGCACAAATGTTCTCTGGCTATCGCTCATGCTTAACTTTGATCAGAATCCACCCCAAGCCTGTCATTACATTCAATAAGGTATGATATATGGAGCAGAATACATTGTTAACAGTTGATCAGTGATATTCAGCTGGGTCTTGAAATTGACTCTGAACTAGCATTTAATTCCCATTTAAACTCATTGGCACTGATGGGTCCACCCCCCTGGCACCAGTCACACTGACAAGTCAGTGGAACTGTTTTTATACTTACCTGCTCTTGGCCCGCCATAGAGGAGGGAGGGTGGGAGCACAAGAGGTGGCTCACGTTAGGATCCGCGACGATCTCAAAACGTACTGAAAACTTTGTGACCCTGCAATTGCAAAGGGGGCGCCCCGCAGCATGTCCTCCGCTGACCATCGTGCCTTGATTTTAACCTTGCCTAATTTCATTTAGCCTCATGTTGAGAAACTGTGTAAAAAGCTGTCCTAGTGAATTGGAATATATTGAAAAAGATACAATCTTGCCTGCCTATGACACAAAGATTATTGTACTATAACTCTATGATTAGATCGGTCCTGCTTTATGTCAGCTCGGTCTGGACTAGCTGTAACAAGGAGAGTCTAGGTCGTGTTTTCAAGTTGCAGAAATGAGCGGCAAGGGTAATTTCTGATGCTGACAACCCAGTGTCTAGTGTCAAGCTCTTCAATAGACTTCAGCGGCTCCCTTTTTATGAGGAATCCAAAATAGCTAAATGCTGCGTTGCATACAAACGTATCAAATGTGAAGTACCCTTATATACTGAAGGCTCTTTAATACTTAATAGTCAGCAACATAATTGTGCTACAAGATGATAGCAACACTAATTTTATTTGCCCAAGATTTAATCATATGACCAAAGGCAGTAGATCATTTGCAGTTACTACCTGTAAACTTTGGAATAGCTCAAGTCTAGAACTCAGGAATTCTGTATCATTAGAATCTTTTAAGAACAATTATAGAAACAACCTTCTTAATGTACAACAGAAACTACATCATTTTATAGTCTAACATACAATTCATCATTTGCTCTCAAGTTACATTTTATTTTTATTCGTAATTTGTCTTCTTATTATATAGATATTCCTAGTTTTTATTGATAGTCAAGTTAGAATTCAACATACATTGCTTGATAGAATTTTTTAAATAGAGGGCCACAAGTTTATTAGTTACTTCAACTATTCTGTGCCACCTTCTCTGAATAAAGTGTATTATTATTATTATAAGAACAGGCATCAGTGCAGGGGTTATAAGCTGGAGGTTTCTACAAACTGTAGTCTGAGGAACAGTGGGGTTGCTTCAAAATTCACTGCAAAAATAACCATAATGCTTGTTAACAGGACAAGGCCCTTGTAATCTAGTTGGCAAATGACATGCTAGTACAGTGTGGTTTGCTCTTGTGTGTTAGACACAGCTAGTAAGTTCAAGAAATGTGACTGCTTGTTATTGTACAGGCAATTACTGCATGGAAAACTACATGGATCAATTATATTTTAGTTGACATTGTGTGTTGGTAGTGAGTATAAAATCTGTCTAATTTGTAAATACACACTGTACTGTTCAAACAGTACTTCTTCTTGAATTCCTCCAACCAGTATCAACCAGTACTGTAAGCTGTTAAATGTTACCTCCCAAAAGATGTTTCCAGTTGTACACCCATGATACCTGTAGGGTTGGAAGTCAGAGAGTATTCTTCCCCTTAATAATGCTTGAGATCTGTGCAAAAAAAAACATTTTGTTCTGTTTGAGCCTCAGGCTAGTATGACTTTCGCCAAGTATATGCTTCATTGTTGTGGAACATTTTTTCGTGGTTTGAAAAGTCTTTTGGGTGGGTTGATGTAGACACAAGAATAACGAGTTTCAAAATTTAAAATTTCTTTTATGTAGGTGTCTTTCCTGGAAAACAGAGGTTTGGTGGGAGATGCATTCCTTTCCAAGGTAATTTATTAGTGCCAGTCCATGCCTAGTGTGATATATAGACTTCATCACCTGTTATACCTGACTAAAGTCATCATATTTTCTGAGCATTTTCTTCTTTAGTGTTTCCACAACATGCTATCTATGCTTAACCACAGACATACAAACTTTTATGGCTTCATTGGGGTTCGTACGCGTTTTGAAAACCCTTGAAAACCCTTGAATTTCAGGAGGCCGATTTCAAGGCTTTGAAAGTGCTTGAATTTTGTTTTGGGTCCTTGAAAGTCCTTGATTTTTTATTGAACAACATCAAAAAATATCTGCTTTTAAGGCTTTAAAGAAATGATTTTGTTTTGCACCATTAGTAAACCCAAAACATAGATGTTAACAGAAACATTTTTCTTGGTTTTTAAATAGGTAAAATTGTCATTACAAAACGTTGTTGAAATTTTTAAGTAGGGTCCTGGAAAGTCCTTGAAAAGTCCTTGAATCTTTGACCTGAAAAAGTGTGCGAACCTTGCTTCATGTTTAGATGGTCAGATGGAGACCAATCATCCTTACTGGCCAAACTTGCAAACCCTGCATTAATTTTATTGACCTTGGTTACTCATTAAGCAATTTTCAATTGACTGTCAAAAGTAAGCTAGGATTTCTTTGGTTTTGCCTTATTTATCTCTGTGATTGGTCTTTAAAACTTGCCCCACCCTCTCAACTGATTGGCTGTTGGAATTCCTTTTGGTTTTGGCAACATGACCTCTAATCAAAATGCTCTCCATAGTGCTCAAGGTGCTTAGTTATAAAACCCCTCCTTTCAAAGGCATTCTTGCAGTCATAGTGGCAAGTGTGTAATATCTGGAGGCAAAACAATCGAGTGCAGAGAACTGAGCAACCAATTTCTTCATTTTGAAATGCATACTATGTGCTCAAACATTGTCATCATCATGTATGCGTTTTACAAACCTCTGAGCAGAGTCATAGGAACTCTGTGAAGCAAAGCTTTTCACTGTGGAATGCAATACTGGGAATGTCTGTTTGCTACAACCTTGAACAAACCTTTTAAGCCAAATTAACTTTACAGAGGTGTGGTAAACAATCAAGAGCTTCTTTAGTTGGTGTTCATTTCCTTTGTTCTTGTGCCCTAATGCTTGATTCAAGGGTGATGTAGTAAGGAGAAATAAGATGCTAATCACTCTTAGAAGTTAAAGGGTTACGGCACTGACAATTAGGCATCAGGGGAGATTGTTTTTGTAAAATCCTAAATTGTCGTAACTCATCAGTATAGAAATGCATGGTACTATTTATGAAAAGTAGAGTAGAATTGGTATGTGAGTGAGTGAGTGGCCACCTTGGAAAATTGTTTTCCATTCCCTATTTGATATTGACTCAGGGACTCAAACCTGAAACAATATTTGGCTTTTTCAGGTTTTGGAGAGTATTTCCTTCTTGTCTTTTGTGGCCAGTCGAGGTCCCCCATACAGACCCTGTGACCTCTTTGACCAGGTATGAAATTGTTCTACATTTCCTATTTCTCTGTAGCTGTTTGAGGTTAGAGAAATATGTTATCAAGTATTGAACTGGAGTATTAAATCCTGTAATGGTTTTTCTTTTTTAATAAGAAAGTGATCTTCGCAGTGATGAACACTACTTTAGCAGCAGTATCTGTGCAGGCCTGAATTTTTTTCAGGCCTTATTTTCATTACTGTTTAATTAAGTAGTGTTCATCACTGCAAGGATTGCCTTCATATTCATTTCTTAACTGCAGTTCACATATATGATTATCATGTATTAACTGTGTTTTTTTTTTTTTTTTAAATTTCATTTCTAGCTTTGTGTGGAGATTGATGGCATTCTGAACAGTGAGGGAGGATTGGATCCTGAGGTGCAGGCTAACATTCAACAACTTGCACAGAAGCTCTATGATAATGTGAGTGGCATCTCATTTGTGTGTTAATTGTGATAGTGATGACAATGGTTATAATCATGGTAACAATGATGATGACTTTGATTTGTGTTCTATGGAAAAAGCCAATCACACAAACGTTGATAATTGGTTTGTTTGCATGTCCTGAAAGTTATTGTGACAGGTCAGTGCCCAGTTGACCTGCCAGAATCAAATCAAAGTGTCTGGTTTTGAAGTCCCAGTGTGACATTTATGAAAGTACACAATCTAGCGTGCATCACATCAATTAATTGATTTATACACTGCAATTAAAAATGATGACATCAAGTAGGAAAGATCAGATTGCAAGGCAAGACCTTTCTGAACTGACTGAGCAGGTCAAGATTGGTTCTTGCAAAAATGATTTTAATTATCAAATGGACATATGATATCACTTACTGAAAGTCTTAAATCTTTTACTAACAGGAACCTTCTTGTGAATCTGCTGAGAACAATGTTCAACCAGTCATTCCTGTTGAGGAAATTGAGAGGTGTAGCCAGAAGGTTTTTCCACAGCTTAGTGAAGATGCCATAAGCCGGCATATAAATCAACAGGAAAATCTTTCTTTGGATTACACTGTTAAGAGTATGGAGCCCTGTGTCGTGCCAGCAAATCCCATGTCAAGTAGGCAACAACATTATATTCCAAGTCGAAAGCTTGAAGTGTTGAAGGATTGTGTTGCATACATCTTTGACAACAAGATTTCTGAGGCTAGAAAGGTACATCTTTATTAATATTTTTTTTCTTTTGCTGGCTCACAGATGTTAGTTGTTATATTTTGTCAATGTCAAACCTCATATCTCTGTTTTGACACATGTTCATGGTTTCCCAGGCAGTTTCTCCCCTGCAGTTTCTATATCTAGCTTTTCACTATCTCAAGGATTTTGTACAGATCTCTAACACATCATTATTTCCTCATTAATTTTGTTTCTGCTATTTTGAAGATTTTTGACACATTTGAAACTTGAGATTTCAAACAGCTTCCTGACTGTGAGCAGCTCTTTTGTAGAAGCAGAAACTACAATTATAGAAGCAGTCTTTCTCCACTAGATGGATCTCCACATTCTTTATTGTACTCACAAATGTTTTCCCAGATCATTTTAGTCTAATACAGTAGAATCCTAACTTTTCACGCCCATAGTTTCTTGAGAACCGAAACTAGCTTTCTTTCTCCACTAAAACACTCCCTGAATTAATGGACCTCCCTTAAAATCTAACAATACTTTTTCTCTAAAAGTTTGGAAGAATCAAGATTCATTTGTAGTTTGTTATGCCATCATTTGCTCACAATATTTGAACAGTATGCAAGGCTGTGCTCTAAGAAAAAGTGAAGGGAGCCCACTGCTTTGAAACTTTGAAATACAGGGTGCCCAGCGCATGCTTTTATATGAAAAAACTAAAATTCCTAAGTTGCCTAAGAGCAAAAGTAAGGTGCTAGGGGCCAGCGGGAGCTGCTAGATCACACCCCTGGTATGTAGAAATTTAATATTTTTAACTGGATGGCACTCAAAAACGTTTATATTTACTTTTTCCCAACAGTCACTTCCCTCTGTGGTTAGAGGTCTGAAGTCCAAAGGAGCCCAGTTAGCTCTCTGCCATGAATTGTCCCTTAGAGCTAGACAAAACAGATCACTTCTGGAACACGATCAGTTTGATCTTGTTGTGAAACTTATGAACAGTGCATTACAGGTATGCTCGTATGACTGTTATTATGAACAAAACTCCCAAATGTACAGGACGGTGTAACGAGTTTCACATCCACTTGCTCAAAAATTCTCATTTAGAACTGTTACAACTCTTTAGCTGTGGATAAATTGCGTCTACTTGGAAATTAAAGAAGAAACTATACAGATGTGGGTTAAGCAAGGGGAAATGGTGGACTTGTTTTCAACAGCTTGGAGGCTTACATGGGCTTAAGTGTTTTGCTGACTGATAAACTGTCAAAGCTGTGTTAGTAGAAAGGATCTTGTCCTTCTCACCGCTCTTCTCAGTTTTCTCTTGTAACTGATTGCTCCTTGAACAAGAGTTGAAAAAAATACTTGAACCAATTTATTTGATGGTTAAGCATTCACATACTCATAGGAATCCTCTCTGCTGGGATAACTAAGTCCTCTTTATTTTGCAGGCAAGTAGAACATATGACAGGTCTTGTTCCCCCTACGGGCTTTGCACCCCAACCATATGCAGCACCAAGCTTTAGCTGTGACAAATCACCACCCTTCTGTGGTTCCTTTTACTAGAATTGATGAATAACTTTATTCACAAAGAAAAATAAAAAAAAAAGCAGCATACTTTTTTTTTGTGTGAAAGCTAGGAAATTTTTTTTCCAGGATGATGCAAGTATGAGTAACACATCTGTAGCTGCAGCCCTTTTACCACTTACATCTACATTCTGCCGAGTGAGTGAATTTTTTGTATTTTTTTTCTGGCTATCTTTTTGGTCAATAGTGGTGTTGTTCTTGAAAACATAATTTGGAGATTCCCTTCACTTATCTCTTTTTATATTGTGATTGTCAGAAACTGAATGCTGGTGTGATCCAGTTTGCTTACACTTGTGTCCAAGAACACCCAGTTTGGGAAAGACAACAATTTTGGGAGGAGGCCTTTTACACTGATGTGGAGTCTCAGATTAAACAACTCTATGTAGATGAAGAAGCTCCAAAAGCCAATGCTGAAGACACATTGGAAAGAAAGGAACAGCGCACATCTCGGAGCAGCTTGACACCTTTAGCAAAACATCGCAGTTTCACAAAAAGTAGAGATAACCTTTCCTCCACACCCAAGGATTCAGGGAGTTCAAGTGACCTGGACCAGTCCTCTCAGGTTGAGCAGAAACCAGTCCCAAGTGCACTGAGTATCGCTGCCAAGCAGGTTTGTGCTTTGCCTTCATCTCTGCATTATTATCCATCTTGCAAATAGCACTTGAATGGAGTACAAATATCCGACAATATTGTACAGTTGGGTATTTTGTTCTGTAAAAAATCTATTTAACCCGTTGGCTATGGACTCTACATTTCTTTATCCTCTTTGCTTTTCTTGCCTGATAAGAAATGAGCAGAAACACTTGGCAGGAAAAAAATGCAGTTGGATGACAACTTACTTCTAAGACGTTTTGGTGTGTAGTGTTGCTTCATATTTTTACGAGTTGATTATATTTTGACCTGCCCTATGGGCTTGTCAAAACACGGCACAGTTCATAATCAAAGGCTCTGTGAGCCAACTAGTGAATTGGATAAGCCAATGTAATTAGTGTGGTCAATAGAAATGGGTGTTTGATTTCCATACTAGGGTATGGATCGTTAGACTGGTAAATGGGCATTATGAGGAATATGATGTGAAACTAAGTTAGGCCTCAAAGACAGAAAATATGGCCTGATTAGGATTTAGTGCAAGACAATCACTGTTCTAGATTTTACTGTAAAGGTTTGTGGAATGAAAGTTCAAAAGGGTGCTGTTTTGTTTATCATAAAACTATTGTTCCAATATTGAGCTCAGTATTAACTTGCGATGCAAGCATAGGGATAGTCATTTAAAAGCTTATGCACTGGATGGAACGCATGGACATAAGGATAAGCATAATATGCATATGATTATCAAAATGTTGCCTTCTTTTTATGCTAAGCCTTATAGTGTCTAGTTAAGACTTGGTTGGCATAAGCATAAGGATTAACATAAGCGAAAGACTTTCAGGCAATCAGCAAGCATTATACTGCTTATACCAACCATGTCCCTATTTAACATAACATCAACTGAGCGCTTGTGCTCATGTTTATGTTGCAGCTGTGCCCATGCACCTTCGCATTAGCTTGTTATGTTTATGCCTATGCTCGAAGCCTGTCTCGCACTTCTGAGATACTTATTAGCATGAGGATGAAAACAAGTACAAGGATGTTCACACCACTCTAAAGTTTATGTTTTTCGGAATTCTTATTGTAAATCAGTGGATACTCAAAACAAGGATTTTTTTCCTTGTTTTGAGAGTCAATTCCTTGAAATGTAAGGATAAAGATTTCTGCTTTTAAGAATTTTATACTCTCCAATGAGAGTTCCTCAGTTTAAGAATACCACCATTAAAAATAAGATTTACTTTCCTTGTTTTAAGAATTATGACTTTGAATTCTCATTTTAAGGGTATTTCCACTATTGAATAAATATCTCAAATCCTTGCTTTTAGCAAGTATTCATTCTATGTAGAAAGGTTCTTCTTCCAACTAGATTTATGATAAATGCTTGCCAAAATTTCAGAAATATCTGTGGAATTGTGCTTGTCAAATATCTGTGATTCATGAAACAAGACCACAGTTTTGAGTGTTCCTAGTTTACCCTAAATATAAAGCATTAGGAATATCCTTGTTGCATGTAATTTACAAAAATTTTTAATTTCAAATGACAATCAAAGTGATTGTCAAAATAAATCATAAATTATAACTTCCAGAAGAATAAGCATGGAATGTAAACTGCTACCATTTGTAATTTTTTACTTACAATCATGTGATTGTTATACGAAAACTTACTGAACCAGAGTAAAGAATCTCAAACTAAATATAAACCACTAGTTGACAGAATTATAGTCATACACCAGCTAGGATATTCATCCTTGTAAAGGGATTGTTGTTGTCACTGTCAACTTTTGTTTTAATCTTCAATATGATTCAAAAGAAAAGTTACTGTATCAATTTCTTGAAGAACGTGTCCTAGGTGTAAAGCCTCTGTGACAAACATTTAGGTACAGGCAAATCTGTAACAAGATTTTTGACAAAGAGAAAGAGTAATCTTCAGTATGATTCAAAGGAAAGGCTACTATACCTATTCCTTGGTGAATTTGTGTTTGTCATGAAGCCGCTATATACTGTTTATTTTAGAATTGGTAAATCTGCATGAAGATCTTAATTGAATAGTTAAAATTTCTGGGTAGTTACTAAAACAAAGAATTACCTGGAAAGAGCTGGAATGAGCCAGAATGAGCTGGAATGATCCAGAATGAGCTGGAATGACCAAGAATGACCAAGAATGACCCAAGAATGACCCGAGAATGATCCATAAAAATGATTTTCGATTGGATTTGTCTCCATATACTTGATTTTAACTTGCTAAACAAAGTCTTTACGTCCTGCTGCTATTTTCTCACTCAGTTGGAAAAGGCTGATGGGATAGTAGCCACAGGAAGCCTGATAAAATATTTCACGATGGCGGCCGAGTTGAATCCTAGTGGAAAATTTTGACGTGGAATGGAAGACAACATGTTTCACTACTAAATTATTAGGTCAAAAACACGACAATATGGCTCACAGTGTGGCACAGTTATTAAGTGATGTTGCTGAGTTCACAATTTAAGTAGGTAGTCAACAAAAAGATATATATTAGTTAATAATCCTACCTCCTAAGGGCGAGAGATCAAACTCTTCTGCCATGATGCTGGAGATTTGGTGGAAATATCCTTTCCCCTGATGCATTGTATTCTGCCTCATGAGGTCATTTGCATTAGAAATATTTTATCAGGCTTCCTGTGGCTAATATCCCATCAGCCTTTTCTAACTGAGTAAGAAAATGGCAGAAGGATGTAAAGAGTTTGTTTAGCAAGTTAAAATCAAGTATATGGAGACAAATTCAATCCAAAATCATTTTTATGGATCATTCTTGGGTCATTCTTGGTCATTCTTGGTCATTCCAGCTCGTTCTGGATCATTCCAGCTCATTCCGGCTCATTCCAGCTCTTTCCAGGTAATTCCTTGTTTTAGTAACTACCAAAATTTCAGCATATTAAGTTAACATATAGTTGTGGCATTTCTTGAAGAATTGGTGTTTGGTATAAAGCCATGTCACTTTGCTGTACATTTGATCTACATCAAATGAAGTGAGGTGTAACTTAAGTCTTGCTTCAAAATAAAACTTGCTGCTGTGCAGGTATCTTAAGTTCAAAATAATGTAAAACATTTTAAAGAAAGCATAATTTGGGTTTGTTATGTCAGATTAAAAGTTGTTGTTGAGTTTGTAGTATGGCCTGGCGAACCTGTGTTACATGCACAAAATATTGATAGAAAGAACCACTTCCTGGAGTTAAGATCCTAGTCTCAAAGACGTAGGGATGATGTATTATTTAACAATCTTTGAGGAGTAAGTTCTCTCTTTTGAGATCTTTACTTACTCATTTAAAAAAAAATAGGTCTTACTAGGAGAAACTTCAGTCACCTTCAAGTAAGGACTCAGCTATCAGTTTTAGGCAGTATTTGTCACTCACTGTCAGTGCACGTTCCTTGTCTTGTTTTGAGAACTGATAACTACACTCATTTTGAGTGATATCAATCCCCATCTTTAGAACTTCCTGTTCCTCACTCCAGGATGCATTTTTAAGAAAAAAAATCCTTAATTCAAGGTATCTGGAAACATACAAACTTAACAGTGCACAAATAACATACGCATACACAGTGCGAGTTACACCCTTGAAGAAACAGCATATCGATTGATTGAACTTATGCTTGAGCTTCTTTCAATGCAGTTCCCGCTTGTGAACCACTTTCCAACGTTGATACAGCTCCAGGAATACCAAACAAGCCTCAAACAAGTCACTTTACGAGCAGTTGGCCGTGAGTGATACTTCAATATTGGACTATCGGCGAGCAGCGACTCAAGTCGTTTGAGCCCACGGTTGAAATTACCAAAAGATCAGCATTTTAAATGTAAAATTTATAATTAAATAAAGTTTCATGGCAATTTTTCAAGGAGCTTCAGTGGCCTTGCGGTAAAAAGCAGGCGGTAGATGACGATCACAGGGTAGCGACATAAGTGGTTCAAATCCGCCGTACTCAAGTAAATTTTGCATTTTGCTTAACTTCCTTTCTTTGTTTTCTTTCTTTTCTTTTTCGGACACAATAATCATTTTCCTGGATATATACTTTTAAAAATAGAAGTATTGACGCCATAAATGAAATATACGCTTCAAGAGATAAAAGTGTATTCGGAGATTGGGCAAACTTCAATTAATTCACAAATGAAAAACGTATGCTTTTTTACTCTTTCAAGATTATCATTGGCTTCTTTGTCACCCCAACAGTATTCTTAGCAACAAAGATCGCCATTTTGTTTGTTTATCACTCGCCAAAAACTATCAAATGCATTCAAAAGCCTAAAATAGAAAAAAGTTTACAGGAATCGACCAATCGAGCGAGCGAGCGCCATTCATCACATCATACCTACAACTCACTCTTGCGCATGCGCGCAATTCATGAGTTAAAAATGCTCAGCAATGCTACACACCAAGATGTCTAATTAACAATTATTCCACAAGCGCGCGTTGGATATGAGATGATAGATAGCCAATGAGGCGCATAGCGCCGAGTTGGCTATAATCATCTCATATCCAACAAGCGCGAGTGGAATAATTGTTTTATTAAAAATGTGAAATAATGAAATTTATTAAATTTTTAGCTCCCTTTTAATTTTAAGCTGACACATACACTTGCCATATTTGTAGATTATGGTATATTGGCTGATATACCATAATGGCTAAGCCAATAAAAAGTCTTGAATTGCATTATCCAGTGATCTAGTTTTTAATAATGAAAGATATTCATTGCACATGTCAGTTGTTTATAACAAATTCTCTGTTTTAACAAGCACAAGGACGTTTAGGGGTTAAGGATGGAGTGTGATTGAAAACATGCATTTACAGTGTACCTGTATTGGTCTTTAGAGAAGAGTAGAGTAGACATCTATATTTATACAGGATAGCCCCTTCAGTGTAGTAAACACTGGTATCAACGGGGGTCCTGTTAGCCACCCATCCCACCCCAGGGGAGGACATCCATCACACAGTAATCTCGTGCGTGGGAAATTAACGTCTCCTGCCCCTAACCCTGCAGGAGACAGGACCTCCATTTATTCGTCCCTATCCGAGAAGACTAGAATATCTAATCATTTCTTGATGTTATAGAAAGGTAGCATATTCTTCTCAATTATTTTAAGACCCTGAGTGTTGGTCTGGCTGGGGCTCGAACCCTCGACCTCCCACACAATAGTCCAGTCCTCTATTCATATATTTGCAGCCTTAGGGGAAAGGAAACTGACTCAAATTATCAGAGGGTTTGAAAGGTTGGGGGTAAAATCGGTGTTTGACATGGAAAGGGAAACCAAGAATGTGAGAAATCAGGATTCTTCCATATGATTTTAATTATTTTATTTTGTAATGGTTTTTGTAGCTTAAGAAATGGCCCTACTATAGCAAGGGAGAGCAAGATGCTCTGATAAATAGTGAGGAAGGTATTGTATACAGTCAAGCCATTCACTATGCCAATCGCATGGTTTACATGAGGATTCCCTTGGATGCCAGCGAAAAGATGCCACCACTTACACCTGCTACAGGTACATCAAGTTTGTAGACTTTGTGAATGAAAGGAGTGGTTAGATGATTAGTTGATTGAGAGGTGAATTTTATCCCTTTCTGACAAATTAAAAATGTCTCTTTTTTTTGGATGGCTGAGCCATCATTCTTGGCCCTTCCCATACACTCCCAAGTTCTACAATCACAAAATGCTCAGAGAACTAATTTATTGTAATTTTAGCTTGCTGTGGGTCCTCTGCAGGATGCCATGAGTCCTCAGTAGCTTACCATGAGTCCTCTATAGCTTGCCATGAGTCCTCTGTAGCTTGCCATGAGTCCTCTGTAGCTTGCCATGAGTCCTCTGTAGCTTGCCATGAGTCCTCTGTAGCTTGCCATGAGTCCTCTGTAGCTTGCCATGAGTCCTCTGTAGCTTGCCATGAGTCCTCTGTAGCTTGCCATGAGTCCTCTGTAGCTTGCCATGAGTCCTCTGTAGCTTGCCATGAGTATTCTGTTGCTTGCTACGAGTCCTCTGTAGCTTGCTACGAGTCCTCTGTAGCTTGCCAGGAGTCCTCTGTAGCTTGCCACGAGTCCTCTGTGGCTCGCCACGAGTCCTCTGTGGCTCGCCACGAGTCCTCTGTGGCTCGCCACGAGTCCTCTGTGGCTCGCCACGAGTCCTCT